GAAGTTATCTTTATACAAATAAAAAGTAAAATTGTTATGTTGGCTCATCAGTTATTGTAATTGTGCATATCTTGTTTACAAAAGGCTAAATTTAGAGATCAACTTACTTTTACTCTCCATCCCTTTTTTGCGGAAATAAGCAGGCAATTTAAGAGTGGGAGAAAGAGGCAGTTATAGCAAGAGAGTAGAAAGAGTTGAGCATCATTTGTTATGATTTCGGCAGCTAAATGGACGGATAATCTCCCTTAGCCCCTAGCGGACTCACTAACTCACCCACCAACTCACTCAAAGCTGCACACACACACACACGATTAATTAGTCCCATAAAACTTGCCCGCCCGCCTGCCTGCATGCTCAATCTGCGGTTATCGGTCGCGCCCTCCCCTACACCCAACCCCCTACTCTCCCTTCCTCCTCGAACAGGCCTCAAAGCGCGGCTGTCATGATACCGAAGCCTTTTTTCTCTATCTGCCATGCGTGGCATGCACGTACGCACTCGTGTGCACACGTGCCATGTGTGGTGAACACAACGCGTGTACGCGTCTCCTCATGCCTTGTGCGTGCATTGCAGCGTCCACTCAGTATCATGTGAAGGTTCTCAAAAACCAACAGCAGAAGAAGGGAGCTGCAGCGACCGTGGCGGCGAGCTGGGAAAAGGAGCAGCGGGGAAACAGAAGCTCCGCATGTGTTCGGCGTGGTATCCCTCTCTTTTTTGCCCTCAAAGTGGTCAGGCAGAAAGAGAGTGCGTGTTTGTATTTTTTGTCTCCTGTGCTTGGTGGTTGTGCTAGAGGGCTTTTGATGATTGGTTAGAAAGTGGAAAGAGACTTTCTTGAGCAGACTGTCTTGTGAGACATAGAGATAGAAAGGGCTTGTCAAATATTTATTCCCTGCTGATAAATTCTGCCAGTACTCTGCGTAGGTGGCAAGTTAAACATTTCGTCTAACTTGTGTAATAATTATGCTAACTATTTAATACATAAATGCAATACTTGCCACTTAGCTCTTATCAGTCTACCTGTCGCAGTTGTAAAAAATGTTTTTGAATAATTCACGGAACCATCACTAAAATAAAATAGAGGTGGTAAAGGCGAATTTGTCTATCATCTCAAGGAAAAAAGTATGCCCTAGGAAGTCGTAAGTTTCGAGGCATAAGGTCATGCGTTGATGTGAAAGAGTAGGACTGACTTAGTAGTACCAGCTCTTTTGAAATACGATCCTACTTAAAAGGTGCGATGACTACAAAAATGGTTAAAAATTGAAAAGCATTTGCTAATGCATGGCAGCATCCGCAAGTCTAGAAGATTTCAAAACAATTTTTCTAACAGATAAAAGATGCATATGAAATGCTTCATTATATAAAATGAACACTCAAAATTTGGTTTCGACACCTCTTAAATTCCATTTGCTCTCCTCTTTAATGATAGCTAGTTCTCGATTATCGGTACAACCAAAAATAATGGCCAGTCTTCCTCAAAGTCAAGAATTCTTATTT